TGAACCACATTTTATTTATCTATTCCTTTTTTGATAGAAATTCAGGTTGTTTATGGTGGCGTGTTTTCATCCTCCTTGTCTTAACCCATCCTTGTCTCCTACTCGCTCTAGCAGTGCTGGAAAGGACATCTGTTTGTCTGTGGGTGTAGCATTCAAAATGTGATAGCTGCTGCCATATTCCTTCCAGAAAATTATACCTGTTTACACAACCACAAAAAAGGTATGATTGAAGCCATTTATTATTTTCTGCATTGTTAGCACCACATGTTACTTATTTTTTAAATATTCATCAGGTTCACAGATGAAGGGGGAAAAGCATTTCATTTTCAATGTGCATACTTTGGTTATCAGGTAGGGCACATGTTAAGTGGCTGTACTTGTGTTAATTGTTAAATTGTATCCTTTTGGCTATATTATTCTCAGATTACTTGACTTTTTCTATGGTTTGTTGTATTTCTACACAGTATGAATATTAACCCTTTGTCACACATGTTGCAAATATTTTTACCCAATGGATTTGTCTTTTCTATTTGTTATGTGTCGTTTTTTCTCATGGAGCTTCTTTTTCTTTTGGGAACTGCATTTGTCATTTTTCTTTTAAGGAACTTGCAGGGTTTCTTAACATGGGTAGACTCTTATTTGGGATCGTAAAATTTTCCTGAAGTTTTCTGCAGACACTCTTATTTCAGGCATTTAAATATTTAGCTTCTTTGTATGTCTTTGTAGCCCCACTAGTTCTTGCTCACTAGTTATTGATTAGAAGTCAAGGAATGTATGCGAGAGATCGTTTATTCAACATTCAACTCTTCATTTTGCGAATGAGGCAACTTCACCTTCGTGACCTCTCCAGGGTCACACCCAGTCAGTCATCTTATGGCAGCACTGAGACTAGAACCCAGTGCCTTACTTTTAAGTCTCTTCTCATTGCAGTTCTTACTTGGGTAAATGAGCATTAGATTAAAGTGTACTCTGTTAGCACTTGGGTGCCTATGAATGTACGTACCACCAGAGTACGAAGCACTGATAAACTTATGAACAAAATGGACACAGGGCCTGACATTTTGGAATTTATAGTTAAATAATCAGACGAAAAGTAGACGAATATGTAATATCACTTGGGATAAGAGACAAATGGATAGTAATTATTTGGGATAAGACTTGTGAAGGAAATGGAATCACTGGAACGGTGGAGAATAGTGGGGTCTCGAGGCTACTCAGGGTAGTCAGAGAATGCGTCCCAAGGAGACCTGAAATACGACAAGGAGGCAGGGAGGGAACAGGAGCAGTGTTCCAGGCAGAGGAAACGGCACCGAGGAAGCTCTGCAGCGGGAATGAGCTCGGCAGCCGGGCAGGTGCAGGGGCTCCGGCGGGTGTGAGGTGTGAGCGGGTGTGAACAGTTTGACTCTGAACGCGGCGGTTGTCAAACTGCTGGTTAACTTTACCATCAGCCTTTATGAATACTTTTCAGACAGCTGTACTGACATTTGCTTTGTAAAAATCTGTACTGTTCATTCTTCTCTAAAACCACACTGGCAGCTGGAAAAATCTGGTGATTAGGTCTTAAGATTTCACATAACAATGTAAAACTAATCTTGTAATTTAATGAAAACCTATCTTTATCTGGGTCAAAACACATGATGAGTTTTCTGGAACTACTGGTTATAACTAGAAGTAATAGTAAAAACAAATCCCCTTCGGTGGAACTTAAGTCAGACAGATACAGAATGCAGTAGTATATAAATCCATTTTTCTTATCAAATAAGAGGAAAAACCTGTTTCCATAGGTAAAACATAAATAATAGAAAAATATTAGTGTGTTTCCCTAGCACATGAATGTTTTTCAGAGCATTAAATGCTGGCTGGTGTTTATGTACCATCTTCATATATGCGGGTCTTGTATTCTTGTATTATTCTGTACCTGTTTGCTTCGAAGTTTGGTTTTTTTTTTTAAGCTTTCTGACAGAACTTTCTTCATTTTATTCTCATTTTTAAAAGATTTCTAGAGTTTATGCAGTGTCTCATTAGGCTTTATGAAAGTCCACTAGACCCTCTTATGTTCAAGGGCCTGTCTTGGATTTTTTTGCATGCTATTTACTTGTTGATAAATAGTCAAAATGAAGAAACTCATTGACATCTGATACATGTTCTGTATATGAGAAAAGTCTATTACATATATTACAGAGATAAAAGGGAAGTCCGAATTCTATAGTACTTTTGTTTAGTGGAGAGAAGCCTTCAGTTATATGTTTCAAGTTTAATTGTTTGGTAGTCTTTGAGGGATGGCAAACCCTTTCTGTTACCTTGCCATTAATATGGATTTTTCTGAGAGGCTTAGGCTTCACTTATTAGTGAGACATTAATCACTTTCTATTCCAGGTCCTTGGATGGTGTTGTTGAATAAGACATTGTCTCTGATTTAAAGGAACTCAGAGACTTGTGGGAAAATAGTTATGTGAACAACATAATGGGATGTGATAAGTGCTATGGAAGACTTTTATACAGCATGTTTAGGGGCACAGAGAGGAGAGCAGTTTTGAAGAGTGTCATGGAAGGAGGAGGTAACAGTTTGTTACCACAGGTTGTTACAAGAACCCTTTGGGTAATACTGGAAACAAACATTCTAGTAGAGGCAGCAATGTGTATGAAAGACACAGAGACTTGAGTGTGCGTGGCTTGCTTATTTGCCACATGGTTTCATTTTTGGTGGGTTGTTAGATGTATGATGGAGGAAATGGCCGGAGGTGAAACTGGAAAGCTGTGACAGGACCATTTGGAAGGGCCTTTCATTGTATGTAGAGAGTTCTCTACTTCCAATGCAAGTACTTCCGTTGGGAAGTATCACGGATTTTAAAGCAGCAGAAGTACATGTTTGGTTCATCTTTAGGATTCAGGAAGTTTTGGAGTTGCTGAACTCATAGAGGGGAAGAGACTGAAAGGGTGGGAAGACCAGTT